GCTCTACCACTTACTATCTCTATATATAAAAGCATATGTAACATGTGTATATTTGTTTTCTTTCTTAGTAAAGTTCGAAAAAAGGTCTCTGGTTACTACTGCATTCCCAGGAATGAACACGACACATAGGAGGCAAGCTGTAAAAGAAATGCTGGCTGAATGAGTGAATGGATTGGTTATTTCACAGGATTAGGAACTGGTTTTGTTGTTGTTGTTTGGTGGGGGGGCAGGGTCTTGCTGTGCTACTCGGGCTAGCTTTAAACTTGGCGATCCTCCTACTTCAGAGGAACTGGGCTTTTAATATGGGGCAAGGTTTGGGAGTGAGGCAGGGAGCTTGGTTCTTGGGTGCTTGAGCTGCTTGGGAAACAGCTCTGTAGAAATCATTCAGGACCCTGCGGCCAGAAGTTGCATGGGAGACATAAAGGGGCACAGAAGGACAATAACTTGAGGTATTTTGACTGCTTACTGTACACACAGGGGAGGAAAGACAAACTGCTGCTTTCCCTTTGTTTCTTCCTCTCAGCACAACCAGCTTCCCTTCTGGAGGCAGCCAAGGATTAGGGCTGGTTTCAGACCAGCGTGACCCGTCCTGTTCACCCTCGTAAGCCAGCAGGAAGTGGGTCAGAGTGGCAAAGTCTGCCAGGTTTAAATCTTGGCTCTACCACTTACTAGCCCTGTGACCTTAAGTTGCCTTACCTCTGAGTCCTGGTCTCATCTCTGTTAAACAGTGGTGATAATAATGCGTAACAGTAATAGTCGTTGAGATTAATACGTGTTAGCTAATATGCCTATGGATTAAGTAAGCTTCAAAAGGCTGCCCTATATTTGTTCGTGTGGCATAAATTTGCTATAAATCCCAGATAAGCCAACTCCCTAACACATGTGATTCTCTATAGCACACTCAGTCATCTTGTGAATCCAGATCTACCTGCAGCTGCCCTGGTTGTAGTGAGACTCTTCTATTGAAAGAGGGATTTTTGTTCTTGGTCTAGCTTTTAAGTCCCATCACTCCATTGCCTTACTGTTGGTCAAGTATGGTCCCTGACACAGTGATGGTGAGAGTTGCTGTTGACTGACACCCTCACCCCCATCTTCTCACCCTCTACTGGGATAAGCTCTGTATAACCTTAGTAGGAAACTGTTTCTGAACATGGGGTGAGGAGAAATGAGCTGCAGAATGCTGGTTGTGGGGTCCAGAATTTCAGTGAACATTGCTGTTGAAGCAGAATAAATTGCTCATTTCCTCTCTGCTGACCACAGGGTCCCAAAGGTGATTCTAATATCGCAAAGGAGCAGGAAGAGAAGTGGGCCCTGGCACAGTCTGGGTGACATTGTATATTCCTGAAAGATACAGAATCCTAATATAGGATATAAAGCATTATCTCAGTTCAGTTTTATGTCTTTGATCTTTTTCTTTGATTTTCTTGATATTGCAGAATCCCTATCATGCCCAGGAACACCTGAATTTGCTTCTAGCAGCTTGAGTACCTTTGATAGTTTTGAGGACTTTCTCTGATTCCACTTTCTGCCATTTATCAAGGAGCAGTATTGTCATTTTCATAGTTAACAAAAATCTTTTATGTCTTTCCTCAGCTTTGCTAGGGCTCCTGTGCTCACTGAAGTCAGGAAAAGGGAGTGAAGAAAGGGTAGTGTTGGATTTAAGGATGTCTTTCCTTGGAAGGTTTGGATTTGGTTTAGACACATAGGCCATCTTAGCTATCCAGAACCATTAAAGAGTATGTCTTATAGCAGCTCAATTCACAATAACTAAACCAACCTAGGGGCCCTTCAACAGAGGAATGGATAAAGAAAATGTGGTACATATACACAGTGGAATATTACTCCTCTTTAAAGAAGAATGAAATGATGGCATTTGCCTATAAATGGATGGAGCTGGAGAATATCATGCTAAGAGAAATAAGCCTATTTCAAAGAACCAAAGGCCAAATGTTTTCTCTGATATGCAAATGCTAATTCACGATAAGGGTGGGGGGCTAGGTAAGAATAGAGGTACTTTGGATTAGGCAGAGGGGAGTAAAAGGAGTGGGGGAATGGGTGTAGGAATGATAGTAGAATGAACTGGACATCATTACCCTATGTGCATATATGATCACACGACCCATGTAATCCTACATCATGTACAACCAGAAGAATGAGAAGTTATACTCCATTTATGTATGATGTGTCAAAATGCATTCTATTGTCATGTATAACTAATTAGAACAAATTGAAAAAAAAAAAAAAGAGTATGTCTTTCAGATTAGGTGTCTCTCACATTGCTGAGGGCTTTATCCTCTCTTAAACCCAAGCACTAAAACTAAAAATATGGTTCATGTTTGGGATCATTCTTCTTGTGACAGATGCATCGTTTGCTTTCTTAAGTGGAGTGGAAGGGACCCTGTTGCCTGGTCCATTATCATGAATGTGAGTCACTGCACCACTGTGTGTGACGGGATACCATGCAGCACCTGGGGATGTCTGAAAGCTTTCATGTTCTCTGCTTGTGAGCTCTTGGTGCTTTTCCTTTGATCCATTTTCTCTCGGGCTTTGGGGTTGACTCAGCCTGCTTTCCAACCACCATGGTTTTCAGCATCTAAAACTTTATGGCTGACAGGGATATCCTGTTACCTCTTGCAGAGAGATGAGAATGTGGCACAGATGCCATCACTCTACCCATGCTTCTGGGAGTAGCACTCATTGGTCATTGCATGTTCCCTTTTGAGGTGTTCAGACTTAGAATCCTCTTTATCATAGAGTTCCAGGCAGCCACTGGCGTCAGGAGGATGTCAGATGAAATCCGCTCACCTACCGTCCACTGTCTACCTGGGCTCCTTCCAATTTCAGGTGAGGAAAGCCAGGACCCAGAGCCACCTGGAGGAGAGTTCTGGTTCTCAGATGGTGCTCTTATGTGCTGTGGTCTTCAGAACCCTGGTAATTAGGCCATTGGAACTGTGATTCCTACACTTGAGAGGGGAGAGAAGGGCTCTTATGAGTAAGATACAAGTTGTGCACGTGTTCGTGCTTATTCTGTGCATCCGTTTGGCTTTCTTCCTGATTCTTTGCTATTTCCAGTTGGGGGTGTTGCCATCTGGGAATTCTAGGTAAGGAGGGTATTGTGCTTTTTAACTTAACAGAAGTACCTGAAGTCAGTACTAACCTTGGCTCGTTGTTCTGTGAGCAGTTCTGCACAGGCCTCCCTCAGACCTTGGAAGAAGGATCTGTGCCAAGGCCAGTGGAGAGGCCAGGGAGGGAGACGGACGGTTTTCATGGAATGTGTGTGTGTGTGTGTGTGTGTGCAGTGGGGGCTGTTCCTAGGAGAAGGAGAAAAGCTGTGAGGGAGAGGTCCGGCCTCAGGTAGTGAGCTCCCAGCTTATCTTCTTATTTTGACCCTTTGCCCAGGCAAAGACAAAGCACCTTTTATTTATGAAAGCCTTTCTGTTCATGCTGTTGCTACGTCTAATGAACAGCAGAAGTGAGAGTGGGAAAGGGCTCTTTGATTGCAAGATTTTTCTTTTTAATGTTTGGGGGAGGGGATGGTTCTTTAGAAAGAGAGAAAATCACATAAGTCCATACAACATTTGCAAATGCTTTTGTAGCAAAATCTTTAAACTTTGTTGTTTTCCTCAAGTAGTTAGATTTCTTTTTTATTTTTATTTTTTTAATTTTAAGAGTAATATGTGCATGTGATAAATACTCAAAACAGGAGAACAGAGCAGTGATAAGTAGGTGTCTCCTTTCCCTCCACACAAGGCTCACTCTACAGGTAATTAGCCTTAGCAAGTGGTCTTGTGTCTCCACATGCGCTCCACATGCAATTGGCTGGGGCTGTCCTAACAAAATGTCACCATCCATGTGGCTTAAACAGCAGAAATTTAATCTCTCACTTCACATAGGATTAGGGACCACCCCAATGAGATTATTTAACCTTAATTACCCCCTTGAAAGACCCTATTTCCTATTTTATATCTCAACGTAAGAATTTTGAGGGGACATAATTCAGCCCATAATATGGACATACTGTGTGTATGTGTGTGTGTGTGTGTGTTATTGGGGATTAAACCCAGGGCTCTACCTCTGAGCTACATTCCCCCAGCCCTTTTTATTTTGAGGGAGAGTCTTGCTAAGTTGTCCAGATTGTCCTTGAGCTTGCCGTCCTCCTGCTTCAGCCTCCCAAGTAGCTGTGATTACAGGCATGTGCCACTGTGCCCAACTCCGATTTACTCTTTTAAATAACATTCCATTTTGAAGATAGCCCATAATTCATTTAACCTCAGCCCCTGTATAGCTGGACAGTAAGGCTTTTTGCAGTGTTTGTGTCTGAATCCCTGTACTCTTGTGGAAATGTTCTAGAAAGATTTTAAGCATAGCTCTTTAAAGAGATTGTCTGACTCCCTTTTGAGTATAGAATAATTTCTCATGGGAAAGGAGAGTGCAGTATCCAATACTGTTTGTGATTCGATGCTGGTGAGAAAGTCAGAGTGCAGGGCACCATTCGTGCCTTGGGCCCTAGGAAATGGAATCCTCAGCCACTTTGAGGAGTGTCAGTGTCATGGCTTTACTGAACATTATTTGGTCATCATCCATTTGTTGAGCCACCATGGACAGGCATTGTTTGGCTCATTTAAAAAAAAAAAGGCTTTATTTTTTTAGAGAAGTTTTAGGTTTACAACAAAATCAAGCGGAAGATAGATCTCTCGTGTTCACCCTGCTCCTACACATGTACAATCTCATCCACTATCAACACTCCCAGCAGAGGAACGCATTCATGGTATCTGGTGAACCTACACTGGCATGTCTTCATCACCCAAAGCCCATAGTTTACACAAGGTTCTACATTTACTTATTTTTAAAGACTTGGCTTATTCTACAAAAGGCTTATGCCCTCTGGAACCTGGGACAATAAGATGCTGTCTCTTCTGTCCAACTTTGTGACAGTCCTAGAGTTAGCCTGGCCAGGAATTGATGTTTCCAGTTTTAAAGGTGAAGATCAGGGGCTGGGGATGTGGCTCAAGCGGTAGCGCGCTGCCTGGCATGCGTGCGGCCCAGGTTCGATCCTCAGCACCACATACAAACAAAGATGTTGTGTCCGCCAAAAACTAAAAAATAAATATTAAAAAATTCTCTTTTAAAAAAAAAATAATAAAGGTGAAGATCAGTTGGGGTGAGTGACATGCTGAGGGTAATAAGCTGTAAGTGGTAGGGGCCATAGTTGTGTTCTTCTAGAAGCAAGTCAGGGCTGTGAGAGTTTCCTAGAATGCCAACCTAATTATCTGTTTCACAGATGTTGTTTTGAATTTCTATCTGGTGAGTTTAGCTTAAGGTAATGTGTTTGTTCCCTTGGTTGTTGGCATAGTTTGCTTTGAAAAATAACTTTTGGGCTATTAAAGAAAGTCTCTGGGCTGGAGTTATAGCACAGTTGGTAGTGTGTTTGCCTCGCATGCACAAGGCCCTGGGTTCAATCCCCAGCATCACACACACACAAAAAAGTATCTTTTTATTTTAATGCATATATATATTTTACAGATGGACACAATACCTTTATTTTGTTTTTATTTATTTTTATGTGGTGCTGAGGATTGAACCCAGAGCCTTACACATGGGAGGCAAATGCTCTACCAATGAGCCACAACCCCAGCCCCAGAAGTATCTTATTGAATTGTAACACAGGAGCATCTGTGCCTATGGGATTGGGGCACACCACCCTCCCAGCACATGGCTGCGTTCACCAACCTGGCTTCTCTGAATCCCATGGATTGGGGTGTTCATGGAGATGCCATTCTATAGGTATGACTGATTAAATCATGGAGCTTTTGGTGTTTAACTCAATTTACATTTCCCCTCCCCAGGCATGGGTTAGGGAGCTGAACTTTCCAGTCCACTAAGCCACAGAGCAGATTTCTTCTGCCCCTACCCTAAAATACCCAGGGCTCCCAAGAGTCACCTCATTAGCACAGACTCGCCTCCTCCAGCACTCTGGAAATCCAAGGGGTTTTAGAAGCCCTTAGGCTAGGAACCTGGGATGAAGACCAAATATGTATTTCTCATTCCGTCACAGTATCACGCTCTGAGAGGACGTCTGTGCTCTTTTCTAGTTGGCCTGCTGCTGTGGGCCTGCAGGCTGCTCTCTCTGCTGCGGCTGCTGCCCCAAGGTGCGACAGTCACGGACCACCCGCTTCATGTACGCGCTGTACTTCATCCTGGTCGTCTTCCTCTGCTGCATGATGATGTCACCCACCGTGGCTAAGCAGATGAAGGAGCACGTGAGTTTGCCTGTCTTCAGCTCTTGATCCTGCTGCTGTTTGCAGGCGTTCGGAAAACATGATTTAGAGGACGGGATCTCATCCCCATGTGGTTTGGGGTACAGTTGTTCTTCCTGAACCTTCCTGAAGCCTTCCCAGCCAAGCAGGCCAACATTAACAGCTTGGTCTTTAGGAGTGGGATGGAGTAGTCTGATGCTTATGGTGGAGAATGTTTATATCAGAAGACTGAGTGTTTTGTCTTTGCTTTGTTTATATCTGTTCCTGGTGAAATATACAGGCTTCTCTTATAGACCTGTGTACTTTTCCCTTGTCAGAAGGATGACTGCCAGTATTTCAAGAAGCAGCTGCTATAAACAGTTCTTAATGGGAGGGAGGATACAGCTTAGATAGGTCCACAGATAATAGGGAGTGGGCTCTGGGATGATTTTTAACCTTTCTGGGCAGATCAGTTGTTGGCTGGTGTCTCCAGGGGTGAGTGATAGATTCCAGTCATTTTTTGTGCAGTGTGTACAGAAGTAGGCCTGGTATGTGATGCTCATGGAGGCGCACATCAGGCCTTTTCTTGGAATTTCCCCCGTGACCCCACAGTAGGCTCTGGATCAGTCAGATTCTGGGGGAGTGTGGTGGGATCCTCGAGGAAGCTCAATAACACCCTTCTTCCTCTGCTAGGTTCTGAACTAGTTGGTAAAAGAGATTAGATGCCAACATCACCTTCATTCCTTATAAAGTGATGTGATACAGTGTGGCTTGTATCCGCGGTGAGGTGGGTTTCTTCCTACTGAGCCCCTACATGAGTCGTACCCAGTTGGGCACGGTCAGCAGGGAACAGGGCAGAATTCATCTGCCAGAGCACAGGCCGCCAGAGAGAAGGCGACTCTCAGCCCATGCGAAGTGGGAGAGAAAAGACTAGACGTCCAAACCCCATTTTCCTGTGGAAACTCACATTCAGCGCGGTGTTCTCTGGGCGCTGACCAGTGAGGAGGTGGAGAGAGGCCTGGAGCAGGCTCTGATGGCGCCAGCTCCGTGTGAAGATGCCTCACAGGGGAGCAACTCCTGAGGAAGCGGGGACTGCAGCTGTTCTAAATGCACTCAATTACTTCAAAACAACCATCTTCTTTCTTTCATTATTTTATTTTTTTCCTCTTTGTGGTGCTGCAAATGGAACCCAGCACCTCCTGCATGCTAGATAAGCATTCTACCACTGAGCTACATCCCCACCCCAAAACACCATTTTCTTAAAAGCATTTGGCATGTTCTCATCCATTAGTTAGAGGATATCTTTTTGAAGCTGTTTCTTGGGTGAGACACTCTTAATTGTTGTATGGCATTGGGTGTAGTGGAAACTAATGCCAAAACCCGTGAAGTTTGGATACTCTGATTGCTTTAAACTTACAACTCAATGAGGCACTGGAATGGGAGCATTCAAACGAGGAAGGAAGCTTATCATTTGGAAGAGAAGATGGGGAGTCTTCCATGGCCTAAAACAAGGCAGAACTTTCATCTAGAAAGGCTGGATGAAATACAGTGGAAGTTTAGAGGCAGGGAGGCTAAGACCTGAGGCCGCCTCGTGGGTCGCTGCCAGTTTTGCTCTGTGTTGGTGTGTTTACTTCCTGCTCTCCTGTTTCATCAGGGTTTAACCTTGTATGCAAGAAGTTGGAGAATTGGTATACCACAAGGGTAGATTTGAGCTCTTAATCTCCTATTTACTACTTCTGTTTTTCCAAGAGCATAATGTTCTTTTAAAATTCAATAAGCAGTGGCTTGATGATCCCTTGTGGTCCCGTGGTGGGAACTCAGTGTCCCAGATGTCTGTGGCATGATTCCTGCTCTTCAAAAGTTTTCAATCCTGGTGGAATCAAGCCTGGGATCCAAGCGACAAAATCTGTAACTATACATACATGTACTATCTCTTAGGAGTGAATTTGTCGAAATATTGCTACTGGAAGGTAAAGGTCATTTGTGAGCTATAGGTATGTGTTTTAGAACATGAATTTCATAATAATTTTTTTTAAGTTGTCAATGAACCTTTATTTATTTTTTTAAAATATCTTTTTTTGTTGTTGTTTTTATGTGGTGCTGAGAATCGAACCTAGTGCCTCACGCATGCTAGGCGAGCACGCTACCACTTCAGCCACATCCCCAGCCCCTCATAATAATTTTAATACATGATTATGCCTTTCCCTATAAAACAATCCCTAACAACTCCAGCCAGTTATCTGTGCTTTCGGACTGTCGGTAGAACACTCAAGGAGCAGAAGATGTTGCCCGGTTTTGTTGGGAAGGCTTCATGAAGGAAGTGTCTTGTATGGACTATAAGTATTTTGTAAGTATTTGTTATACACAGAATGCAGAATGGCAGAATGCAAATCATTTCACAGTACACATATAGAGTAGAATTTTTCAAGTCACTGATAGTACACAAAGTATTTTCACACCATTCGTGTCTTCATACATGTACTTAGAGTAATAATGTCTAACTCACTCCACCATCATTCCTACCCCCTTGCCCCCTCCCATCCCCTCCCTCCCCTTTGCCCTATCTAAAGTTCCTCCATTCCTCCTATGCTCCCCCCACATCGCCATTATGAGACACCATCCTCATATCAAAGAAAACATTGGCCTTTGGTTTTTTTTACTTCACTTAGCATTATATTATCCAACTCCATCCATTTTAAGTATTTTAATAGCTAGTATTTATTGGGTAATACTACGTGCCAGGCTTTATTTCAAGCATTTTACCTCTGTCTTCTCCTTTACCCCCAGTAACTGGCCTTAACAGTAGCTGCTGTTATGCTTCCTGTTCTAGAGATAAGGAAACTGAAGCACTTGGTCGTTTGAGCTCCTTGAGCCGGGTCTCCAGCTGTTGGGTGGGAGACTTGGGATTTAGAAGTTGGTCTGAATGTGTTCTTAGCTCTGGACTGTGTAGCTTGAGAGGAGGAAGAACAAGCCCAGGGTATGTATCGAGGGACCAGCAAGAATAACAGAAGGTCAAATGACCAAACCTTGCAGAATTTCAGTGCTAAGGTGAAGTGTTTGAATGTGATTCCGTGACAAATGTAAGCCAGTGTAGATTCTTGAGCAGGAGGCCATCATCACTGAAATGGAGAGATTTAAGGAGGTGAGCTCCACATGGTGTGTGTGAGGTGTTTTGGGGTCAGAGACCAGATGGAGGGAGAGAGGAAGGGTCGGGGCAGCCCTGATGCCTCCCAGTGGCTTTTGTAGACACTTCTTTGCCTCACCCCTAAATACACCTATTAAAGTGGTTTGGCTGAGCTTCGTACATAAGGGGTGAGGTCCCTGTGGGCAAAACTCAACCCGTTTCCATCTTTAGAGCCTTGCATGGGGCTGGCCATCTGGCCACAAAGTCGGCTTGTTCCGTGGCCTCAGAAGGAGGCTGACCTCATCCTCAGGCGGTGTGTGAGGGTGGGTGTTGAAAGGTCCCCTTGTGTGACGCACACTGGGCTTCTGCTAGAGTTCTCGCCCCCTCTTTGTTGGCCTGTGTAGATGCTTGGGGTGGAGATTAGCAGAGGGGAAAGAACTGGGTACTTGTTGGCCTGATGGTGATGTGTCATTGCTTCCCACCCCTCATTCTTGCCTCTGCCCACTGGAGGGACCCTGCCAGAGTCACATGGGCCTTTTGGTGTGTGGGCTGAGAACACAGCACGAGGGTAGCTCCCTATTCAGTAGCTTTCAGTTTTTGCCTTGATTTCAGAATGTGACCTGTTTACCACTCAGTGAGGGAACTACAGGGAGATGCTGGGCCAGCTTTTTCCTAGGGAAACTCCTCTTTCCCATGAAAGCTTTGGCTCTGTGTCAGCTCTCCTGAACATGGAGCATGTACAGAGTTGAATGGAGCATGGTTTCTGCCTTCTCTTGGAGCATTTTTCCCATCTTGGAACATAAGGAGCCATTTGATTACAGGTCCTTCCTGCTATGTACTGTGTAACTTAAACAGGTATAAATTAGACATTTGATGCCTAAAGGACTTAAGATCCCTTTTAGAATATAGAACATAGTGGTGCACATCCCAGCAATTTGGTAGACTGAGAAAGGAGGATCACAAGTTAGAGGCCAGCCTCAGCAACTTAACAAGACTCTATATCAAGATAAAAAATAAAGGGCTAGGGTTGTAGCTCACTGGTAAAGCACCACGGGGTTCAATTCCCAGTAATGGGGGAGGCAGAATGTAGAGCACAAAAGGAAAAAAAGAAACAGGCAAGAGGATAAGGTCTTCTGACCTGTACCTCTAAGTCAACATGTCACTGCCGTGCTTGGGAGCCATACAGAGACAGTTGAGGTTTGGATGCCGTGGGAGCTCTGTGGGCATTTGGGAGAGGGGAGAAAAGAAGGTTTTTGTTTCCTGGGGATTAGGGACCCTCAAACCTAGCCTACAGTGGAGAAGGAAGGCCGGATGACCGGTGAGGCCCTTGGCCTTTCTCCTTCCTGAGAACTCACTGTGCCATGGCCAATGTGGGGAAGAACCTTAAATTTCCTAACTGGAACCATCTCAGATTCATTGTTTTCTTCCCTTGCTCCTGTTGGCCCTGAGATGCTCCAATTTTTCGAGAGCCTGAGATAGTTGAATTTTTTGCATCTGAAGTTTTTCAGAATCAAAACACATCATGAACTACATAGTGAAATTATGATTTTGGTGTACAGTGTGGAAAGGACTTCCAGGCACGGAGTTGGTTTTGTGGTGTTGCAGTGTGTTCATCTTAAATTTAAATTGTGCAGACGTGTTCGTTGTACTGAGAGGAGAGTCACCTAAGGTCTCTGTTTTTATTGAGTCTTCTTTCGTTTCTTCATTTGTTTTGGAAGGTATTGTGTTTCCTTTGTACTCTTGCTTGGTCTCTTCTGGAAATGTATTTTATTTTACATTATTTATTTTCACATTACTTTCCGCTGGCAGGTTTGGGTAGTTCTCTTTTGAGTGGGTAAAAATATGAAAACCACACTTCTTTGATTGGTCATTGCCTCCCTAGGTAGGACGACAATGTCAC